GCTGCTTAGCCTGTTGTGTTCATCCAGCTCTACACCTTGTTATCTCAGATTCTCCAGCATCGGCAGTTCCTACTATCTCTCAAGCTTAACTAAGCCAATTACTACTTTGTCAGCCTAGTCTCAATCATCAGCAATGTAAAGTGTCATCAGTGGTGTTATCAAGTGGAACATACTGTTCAATAAGCTGTTTACAGATGTTCAGTTTGAGTTTTATCAGGATCACTGACTCCAGACCTCGTTATAGTCTTGAGCTAAGTTGAATTCAGGAGCTAGATTGTAGAGAATGAGGAGAGAGTGACAATGAGTAGTCATTGGAGTACCATTTAACAATATATGGCACCACAAAGCCTGAATAAAGCAGATGTCATTGGGACTGTTGGGAAGTGCAGAGACCAACTTGGCAATGAGAAAAGAAACTTGATGAAAGAAGTTGCATGACATGGGAATTTGTATGGAAACAAGATGAGAAACAAAAACACAATTTAAAAAAAGAAGAAAGGGCAATGAGGCAGGTGGCTTCTTTTTCCTTTCAATTTGTCTTGTTTCATTTTATTTCCCTTCTTCCATGGACAATGAATGAAACTTTTTTGGATTATTGCATGTCTGCTAAATTCTGTTTTGGAAATAGGAGCTGTTTTGAATACCTTTAAACTAAATGTGAAACTCAGCAAAACAACTAAGAACTCAGCACAGATAAGATGCAGCAGGTAAATATCTTTCAATCTATAAACTGAACAACACTTCTTCAAACTTACATTCTTCAAATTTCCCAGTTGTACAATCATTATGAATACTGCACTGAATTTTGAGGAGTTAAAATATTTCAGTGAAGCTACTGTTCATTCATTACTTATAGGAATCACAGTTAACTTACAAACCTGAATGACAATGGTCAGCGATCTTGCTTTGAAATGCTGCTCCACAACCTTTGCGACTTTCTGGCTCGTCTGAAACAAGTCTGTCAACTCATCTGGTTGTAGATCTCGAAAACGTTCAATTGGTCTGATTGGACAAACTAACACATCTTTATCACAGATAGTCAAGGAAAATAACCATGTGAAGTTCAAATAAGAATAAATTATATTAAACATCAGTCGCAAAAATTTACAAAACAGAACAACTTTGTCTTTTATATATAATCCATGACAAAAACCTATCCTCTGAAAGCTGTTAAAGAGATACTTTAGAGTCAAATCAGACAAGTGATTAGCACCGTATTATGATGTTTCATGGCAGCAATGAACAATCCCAGCTTCATTGAGCAGTTATTTTTCTGATGGCTGCTCTTCAAACAAAACAAGGTTGAAATAAAAGTTAAGGTATTTCTTCCTTTAGAAACAGAACAGTTTCTGAAAAGTCCCTTCCAGAGATTTTCTTTCATCAAAATTTCCTTCATATCAGTGAAATTTGTCACAATGTTTGACTTTAGACTGTTGGTTCAAATGTGATGCTTACACTGAGATTTTGAGATACAATTTACTGGTAAAAACCAATTTACATTATCCTTAACCTGTACCTTGAAGTTTATTGCTGAAATAACATAGCACTAGTGTAGAATATGCAAAACCTCTGACAGGTATTTTCAACTGAAAAGATAATGCCAGTGCTAATAACACTGAAAATTGCAACAGGTTCTGCAACTACACTTTAGGTCATTTCTTTTGATTTGATAACTAGATTGTGCCACCTGTTGAAGCCACCACAATGCTGAAAATGGAATTAAACTAACTCACAGACTCCATCTATATGCTTCGCAAGTAAAAGATTCTGGAATGTATTTTAAGGTATTTACACATCTTGGAATACAGCTTGATGTGTCACTAAGTCTTCACTCCTGCATGTTATGACAGTATCTGAACTGTACCATACACAGCTGCATGCTGAGTGACGGTGGCACAGTGGTTAGCACTGCTGCCTCACAGCGCCAGGGACCTGGGTTCAATTCCAGCCTCAGGCGACTGTCTGTGTGGAGTTTGCACATTCTCTGTGTTTCTGCAGGGTGCTCTGGTTTACTCCCATAGTCCAAAGATGTGCAGGTTAGGTGGATTGACCATGCTGTAGCATCCAGAGATGTGCAGGCTTGGTGGATTAGCCATAGGAAATGCAGGGATGAGTCTGGGTGGGATGCTCTTCAGAGGGTCGGTGTGGACTGAATGGCCTGCTTCCACACTACAGGGATTCACTCTGCAGAGTGATTGCGGGGCAGCAGAGAGAAGTTTAGCCAGTTTTTTCAATCCCTTTTATACTTTGAATCACATTGAGCTACATACCATATCTCTAAAATACTTTATGCCCCTGAATGTTCTATTTGTGCTTGTTCTCTGTTTTCTGATACATACAAAGAAGGAAGAACAGTACAGTACAGGAGCAGGCCCTTCAGCCCATCAAGACTGCATCGACACGAGATGCCTTTCTAAACTAAAATCCCTCTTGCCTCTATGCAGTCTGAATCCCTCTATTTCCAGCCTATTCATATATCTGTCAAGATGCTTCTTGAACATTGCTATTGTATCCACCTTCATCATCTCCTCTGGCAGTGCATTCCAGGCACTTACCACCCACTATGTAAAAAAACTTTCCTCTTACGTCTCCTTTAAACTTACCCCCTTTTATCTTAAACGTATATCCTCTAGTAATTGACATTTCTACCCTGTGAAAAAGACTCCTACTATCTGTTCTATGCCTCTCATAGCTCTGTAAACTTCTATCAGGTCACCCCTCATCCTTCAATGTTTAAGTGAAAACAAACCAAATTTATCCAATCTCTCCTCATAGCTAATGGACAACATGGACAACATCCTGGTAAACCATTTCTGTACCCTCTCCAAAGCCATTACATCCTTCTGATAGTGTGGCAACCAGAGCTGTATAAATTATTCCAAATGTGGCCTAACTAAAGTTCTATACAGCTGAAAAATGACTTGCCAATTTTAATACTCTCTGCTCCAACCGATGAAAGCAAGCATGCCATATGCCTTCTTGACCACCTTATTGACTTGTGTTGCCACTTTCAGGGAACGAGGACCTTTATGCCTAGATCCCTCTGTATATTGAGGGTTCTAAGGGTTCTGTCATTTACTGTATATTTCCATCCTGCATTTGATCTTCCAAAATGCATCACTTTGCATTTGTCTGGATTAAACTCTAACAAGTGCATCTACCGAGCTTGGAAGTGAAAAAGTATTTTGATACATTTTTTGTTCATTTTGTTTTCACAATTTATGTCACTTCTTTGATTTTCTCCTGCCTTTATTATACAAAAAAAGACTTGTACTGCAATAGGCTGGTGCAACATTAGGTGTCGCTGGGTACTTTAAATGTTGGTATTAAGAGTCACAGTTAACTCAATAAAGTTGGAAAAGTCAAAGGCCCTGAAGCAGGTTAAGTAAGCAGAACTTACAGAAATTATAAACTTACAAATCCTATTATATGTATTGAGGGGCTTGTTAGTGCTGGTTGGTTCCATATCCATATCCTATTATAACACACATAGTAGCACAAATAACCTTCAGTCTAATTTCTACAAGTACGTGACAAACATCCACCAGTTATCCAAAAAGCAATTAGAGAGAACCCATTAGCAATGGACCACATCAGACACAATTTCCTTGATGCATGACAGAGGCCATAGTGTACAGAAAGGCAGGAAAACTAACAAAAATATTTCCTTCTGCCGAGATTGTGTATGTCACAATTAGATTACTTCAATGATCAAAAATCATTGAAGCAGCCCTAACCCTTTCCTGTCCACTGCTGAAATCATCAGAAAGAGATCTATAACATTCTATTTGTAACAGACTCTGAAAATGAGAATGTACATAACAATCAGACCCTCGTTCCAATGATAGCTGCTAATCTTCTTTAAGCAGTGGGAAATCAGGAAGAGAGCTCAATATATTGTAATGGCCTCTGTTCACTGTTTTGGATCTGGTGTATGCTTGATATGAGATTTTAATTATATGGCCCAGAATCTTCTGCAATGATGTAACTTGTAACATTACCCAAATATTTTATGAAGTGTTCTGGGTGAAATGAACGTGTGCAATGGCACTTTTAAATATTCATAGCTCCCACATAACTTCCTTAAACTTCTGAACTGCAAGAAGAAAACTGAAGAAGGCTCAGTCTGCTCAGGGTTGTATCAAGGCAGTGATTTTTGTTTTTCAGTAGAATCAGTAACCCATCCTTTTATTCTTTAAATACTTGGTTACGAGCTCACAGTCCTCAATTTCTGCAGTTTGCCACTATGGTAATTCAGCAAAGATAAAGATTTCCAGAACATCTTTTGGCCTTATTTTCCTTTTTGATTCAGTTCTAAAAAAAATCCTCCTCAATGTCTTTTTCAAAAGCAGATTTACCTTAGTGTTCTCCCAACTCCTGATTTACCTCCATTCACCTATCTTCACAGATACTGATTTAACTTGGATGTTGAGTCATAAATTTCACAGAAGTTTGATCTTCTACGAGAAAGGGAAATGAGTAAGTAGCTCCAAGTTAACGACACTTAAGGGACAAAATTCCTTATTTTGTGATTTTGTTTCTTTAGATCTTTTAACCTAATGGCGACCAACTTCACAGTCCAACATAAACTTATTTAAATTCCTTTTTTAAAATTCATCCACAAGATGAGGGTGTCATCGGTTAGGTCAACATTTATTGTCCATCCCTAATTGTGATCTGGGTCAACCACATTACTGTGGGTCTGAAATCATATGTAGGCCAGACCAGGTAAGGATGGCAGTTTCCTTCCCTCAATGACATTTGTGAAGCAGGTGGGTTTTTCTGACAATTGACGATGGATTCACGGTCATCATAAGACTCTTAATTCTAGATTTTCATTGAATTCAAATTCCATCATCTGCCAAGGTGGGATTCAAACCCAGGTCCCCAGAACCTAAGTCTTTGGATTAACAGTCCAGCATTTCTACCATTAGGCCATCACCTCCCTGTATCCTCTCAAAATGGATACCTATTTGGGTGTCAGCCTGGACTCAATGGTTGCAGTTGTATCTGAGGGTAACAGTATTAAGTTAAAGCCACACTCCAGAACTTGCACACACAATCCATACTGACATTTCAGCTCGACACCGTTTTCAGATAAGAAACTCATTTGAAAGGTAGAGAAAGTTTGAGCATACTTGTGTACGTGTGCGACTAGAATATTCTCAAGTCTTCTCAATCTTTTAAGTGCCTCAATCAAACAATCCAACCAAATGAATCTTTGCTCACAAAACTGTCCATGGTCATGATTCTCAAATGAGAATATCCTCCAACTGCATCTATCAGGTGGGGAGAGATAAGTTATTTTTGTGATCTTTTAATCACAATTATTTCAGTACAATTTTAAAAAAACTTCACCCATCCAGCTCATTGTTTTATTTCCTTAAATACTTATGTCATAAATATCTACTTGTCAAATTTAAAATTCAAAAGATTCCCTGATTGCAGGTTCCTAGACAATGCCTGATCTGCTTTTACAACACTTAAATGAGCTGAAATGTCAACTTTAGCAATCAGAGAAGAAACATGCCTGTACGATCAGCATTACTTTGGATCCTGATTAATTATGCTGATCTGTGCCCCCTTATGCATATTTTAAATTTAGGCATATTCTCGGAGAGGTGACAATAGGAAAACATTTTGCTGTAACTTGACATTGATAAAATTGACTGATCCACAGGTCTCGCCTTAAGGTCACATTCAAGGAGGAAAGTCCACATTCCAATTCACAACTGGACAGAAAATTTGTAAAACTTCCTTCAGAAAAAAACATAATGATGATAATATTCTTATTCTTCAGGCTTTGAAATTTTCATGTCATTTTCATAAATGGAACTGGCTGAATATTTCTTTGTGGGATGGATTGCACCAAAAACTCATGGAACAAACAATTTACTTCTGCAAAGAAATCTCAGAATCTAGCAGCAAAAGAAGTGAGCATTTGGTGCATCATTCATGTACTGGCTCTCTGAAAAAAAGCTCTCTATTTATTTTACTGCCCTTTACTGCTAGAACTTCAACAAC